GATTGTAAGTATGAATATTTTTGTACAACCGGTAACTTCAAACGTGTTTTCCTCGAAAAATATTTTATTTTATAATACTATTGTTTATATTATTATTTATTTTTATATTATTATCATTTTATAATATTTTATTTTTTTGTGCTGCTCGATTGATTGTAAGTATGAATATTTTTGTACAACCGGTAACTTCAAACGTGTTTTCCTCGAAAATTATTTTATTTTATAATACTATTGTTTATATTATTATTATTTTATAATATTATAATATTTTATAATATTTTTTTGTACTGCTGGATTGAGTATAAGTATGAATATTTTTGTATAACGGGTTTTTGAACTGGCTGATGAGATATCTCACGTTTTAGTTGACCGATTGACTTGGAATTTGGAGGAGATCTTCACCGGATGTACGTTTATCGCATGAACCACGGATTTCAAAATCTGATGTTTTTTTCTATTTTTTTTTTTTTTTAACACCGAAAGGACGAAAAGCACAAGGAAAATCGATATTTTAACTTCATAGCTGCCATTTCTTTAATTTTCGAAATTTCGCTGTTTCCGTGGTCCGTGCGACAGCCATATTTATACTAATTAAGATGCATTTTTGATGTTTTAGTTTCAAACAACCAGGTGGACCATGAACCCGTTTTTAAAAACGTGCTTTACCCAAGGCTGTATAATTTCCACAAATATCATTAATTTCGTTAAAAAGAAGAAATCGTCAATGCTCTTTAAGTGTGAATAAATCTGTGTGCGAAAACCGTCACACAAAATGTATCATGGTTTCCTTAGAAAAAAAAAATCCCCAAAAGAGTCGATTTGTTCCCGGATTACCAGAATTACCCCGTTGAAAACTGAGAAAAATGTTGCAATTTGGGACAAAAAAATCCAGCGCAAGAGGCTAACACCGACAAATCACAGCGGAGGAAATCATTTCCCGTATTTTCAAGCGGCAGTGCACCTTTCCCGGGCAAATCGCGAATGGGAAAGCGTCAACGAGGCGAATGGAAAATTTACGCGTACGCATACGTGTCTGGCGAAGGACACACGTTCGACGTTGGCGCGTATTTGAGGCGTTCGTGGATCGCGCGTGGCTCGACTCACCGTGCACCCTGAGGGTGGCGTTGGCTTTCCCCATGCTTGACGACGCTGAACACGTGTACTCCCCCAAATCCGTTTTCTCTAAACGTCTTATCTTCAGCTCGCTCGTTGTCTTCCACTCCTCGTCCGGATGTCCCCTCTCGTCGATTTCGTATCTGCCGCTGTTGACACGTGTCATGGCTTAACTTCACCAAATCGAAAATACGAATACCGTATGCACGTGGAGAATCGATCTCGCGTGGAATCGACGGGGGAGATACATAGGCGAGGTACGTATACACCTGTACAATGCATACATACCCGCTCATAATGACTTGCTCCTTTCTAGTCCACAGGTTGATGGTCTTTGGGTAAGCCTCGATCAGACAGATGAGGGATACGTCCGTGTCCAATGGGGAGCTCAACAATTGATTCGGAACCTTCACGCTCGGTGGAACTGAAATCCCAGCGAATGATAAAACTCGACGAGCGATCCGCTTTTCCAGCCTAACGCCGGCGTGATGCGCGGCACACACGCACAAACACACCGCGTGCACGTAGCGCAGAATCAGGAGGTTGGTCGAATCTCGTGCAAACATTGCGCGGATAAACGCGATTAGCTCGGCGGTATACGCCTGCTGGAATTCCCCGGGGAGGGGAGATATCGTTCAAGTCGGCGGAATAAATCAAAAGGACCCGGTTGTGTCCAACGAAATACACGTGGATGTGTATACGACGTGGCCATAAGTAATTAATTTCTGTTGCAGATGAGAACGTTTTTCTTCATCACTTTTCATAGAACCCTGTTACAGCTAATTACTGCGAAGAATTTAAAATTTTCTTTATATAGAGTCTCTAAGCTCTTGAGAGTTACATCCGTAATTGTGAACATTTTCATTTTCATGCCGGATTTAGTACAGCAGAAACAACGAGGAAAGTTTGTCAATGTCGACAGTGTCAGCGTTAGTTCATGATCTGTCAAACACGGCTCAAACGTGGACAATCAGTTAACTGTGACGCTTGAAAATCTCTAGTGGAGTCTGATCCAAGATTAAGTAAGTACAGGAATTATCAAGAATTGGATTCGCCTTGGTCAACTGTATAAAGGCATCTGCATGAAATCGGCAAGGTACATAGACCAAGGGATATGAGTTCCACACCAACAAACACACCTTCGACGAACAGTTTGCACTTGTTCGTCAGATTGCGTACAGATCCATTTCTACTCAGAACCGTCACTGCAAAAATGGATCCTCTATGACAACTTAAGGCGTTCCAAACAATGGCCATCTTCAAACCAGACACCAAAACCAACCTTATCCCTGAGAAAGGTTTCATTGGTTTCGTGTGTTTGATGGGATCGTAGTGGTATAGTTCACGTCGAGTTATTGAAACCTGGATATTGCCAACAATTACAACGCGACTACATTCCAAATTGTTAGAAAAAAAAAAGGACAGTTTTAGTCTGAACAGAAATAAGTAAGTAATACTCCAACAAATGCAAAGTAATTGATTACTTATGGATATCCGTAATATACAGGGTGGGTCATTACGTATTATCATCTAGAATTACGTCATTATTAATACGTGTAAAGCGAAAAATGTTTCAGATGAAGTTGAATGGTACGTTTTGACGATGCAAGGTTTCTTGTAGGTGGACGTGCAGGGATCATATGAAGGTCACTAACGTTTTTTTAAATGGAATCACATATTTTTTATTGCATCAGTGCGCCTTGATACTCTTTACAAGAAAGTATTAACCTAGTCGTTAGTTTAGGAGATATTTTAATTTTAATGTTGTTAGGAAATAAGGTGTGCCTCCGACTATAATGCCCAATATGAGAGATCATCACTCAGTGTAATAAACTAATACCAGATGCATTACACAATGTGAGTGAATTATTAATCTATCGATTGAGAAAATGTCCTGATGCAAATGGTCGTCACATTGAACCTTTTCTGTAAATAAAATCATTACAACATTAACAAAGGGATTTCTCATTTCCTAATAACATTAAAATTAAAATATCTCCTAAACTAACGATTTTTTTAACATGAATAGGTTAATACCTTTTTGCAAAGTGTATCAAGGTGCATCGACTGATGCAATAAAAAATATATGTTTCCATTTAAGAAAACGTTAATAACCTTCGTACGTCCACCTACAAGAAAACTAGTATCATCAAAATGTGCCCCTCTCGAAACCATTCAATCTGATACATCTTTCGCCACGCGTAACAATAATGACGTAAATCTAGATGGCAATATGTGGTAACCCAGCCTGTATATCGAGTACGAGTAAAGACGTATACACGTACGATGTATGCATGTACGTACGATCGATTACTCGATAATTCGAAGGTACTCACAGTTCACTCTGAGATAGACCCTCTTGCTGACTGCCGGGGGCACTTCGTTTTTCGCTATACAAAGGTAAGCTCCCATTTGCCTCCTGTCCACCTTGGTTAATTCCAGCCTCTCGCCGGACTGGTTGTCCACTATAAAATCTCGCGTCGTATGAATATCTCTCGTCGTTGAAAGCTCTCGCGTACACATCGCTGGCCGCGAGCCAAGCGTTCGCGCGTATACCGAATTACACGCGAAATATGCACGTACCTCGCCGCGTTGTTAAAACAACAACGAGATCGCCTAACTTCTCTGCGTTACAACCCTAAATCTCGCGCCGTGGGATCGCAGAATTTGCACGGAACGATTGCCAACGAACGCCGATTTAAGAAACGACGATTTACATACACACACACAATCTCTCTCTTTCTCTCTCTCTCTCTCTCTCTCTCTCTCTCTGGATAACGATAAAACGCACGATCACGTTACGTGTGTGTCGTTCGTATATCGAACGAAGGCGTGGTAACTGGGAAACAGAGGGCCGACAACTATTCGCCAACTACTGTCTCGCGAATTTAATGATCGATAGGGACGAAACCGCGGCGGCCCTATCCGTGAAATTCCTGGGAGGATTGCGGCGAGAACACCGCCCGAGAAAGTTGTTAATCGTTCATCGGTTACGATATATATATCGTTTAATTATCGTTTAATTACGCGTACGCGTTCTCAACGCGCTCTCGGGATCGATGAGCCGCGTATTGGATTATCATCGCGAGCGAACCGGCGACGAGACACGCACCGAGTTCGCACGGGCGCGGCACTATCCCGATAAAACCGTCCACGGCGTGTCAGCTGGCCTAATGAGATCCACGGAAAATGGAAGATTCGTTTATTTGCGTTGACAGCTCGCGACCTAGCCGGCCCGCGCGCGAGTATATATTTTTGTTTGCAGCGCGGAAGGGGGAGACGTGTCGTGCGCCGTCCCCCCCCCCCCTCTGTACTCAAAATATTGCGTATCGATTTATCAGACACACTGGCTGAAAATTCGTTCCATTAATATCGTCGAACGATCGACGAATTCGCCGCGCGTTCGACCGAAAAAATACGCTCGACGCCGAACCATTTGCCACCCGGTATTTCCAGCACCAACGTTTCAGCGTTCGAAAGTGGCGCGAGTGTGTGGGCGCGCGGAATTCTCGGAGAATCTGGCCGGCATCGGGGCACGTACCTACCTCTCCACGGAAATATAATACATATCGAAAGTCATCCCGAACACAGACTAATCTCCATTCGATGAGACGTGTTCCCGCCCGTAATTGCTTTCGATCACGGCGTCACGTATTCCGCGAATTTACGACGCCTTCATGTTCACGGTCGTCGCGTAGACAACCTTCGGATAATTAGATAGATTCTCCAGAGAGAGAAAGAGAGAGATGCACCGAATCACCGAAATTTCAATCGCCTTGCAGCTGGACGAAACGCGAGATCGGTCTCGGACTTGTCGCGTCGGATGGCCAATAAAATAAAATGGTGGCACTCGAGAGAGGGAGAGAGCGGCGGAGTGTAGTTTCGAGGAAGAGCGAAGAATTAATAAAAAAAAGGAGAGAAAGGCGGATCGAACGTTATTTGTCAGCGGGTGAAACGAGAGACGGCCGCGAGAGTGCTCGAGAGCGGAGATAAAAATGTAATATCTTACCTGGTATCAGCGGATCGTGGAGACCCCTCATAAGTATGGAGCCACTTTTCTCGCGTCGCCAGAGCACGCGAGGTGACGGCCTCCCGGAGGCCTTGCACGAGAGGGTGGCGTTCTCACCCTCCAAAACGGAGACCTCCCCCTCCGATGTGCCGGAGCTAAGTATATCCGGCGGCACTGCGGCAGACAGAGAGAAAACCTTTGATTCGTATCCGACACAGTTGACACGTTGTGGACGGCAGACGCGAATTCGGGCCTTTCAGTTTTCAACTGTTGCGGACGGGGAACGGTTTTTTGTGTAGGGGACACGACCCAGGGAACGTTATATATATTATATATACTATAATATACTATACAGTTTATTATACATACTATGTATATATATATATATACTATAATTTATATTACATAATATTACATATAATATATTCAACTGTTGCGGACGGGGAACGCTTTTTTGCATAGCGGACACGACCCAGGCAACGTTATATATACTATATATACTATAATATACTATACAGTTTATTATATATACTACATAGTATATATATATATACTATAATTTATATATTTATATATATATACTATAATTTATATTATATAATATTATATAATATTATATATAATATATTCAACTGTTGCGCACGGGGAATGCTTTTTTCCGTAGAGGACACGACCCAGGCAACGTTATATATACTACATATACTATAATATGCTATACAGTTTACTATATATACTATATAGTATATATATATATACTATAATTTATATATTTATATATATACTATAATTTATATTATATAATATTATATATAATATATTCAACTGTTGCGGACGGGAAATGCTTTTTTGCGTAGAGGACACGACCCAGGCAACGTTATATATATTACATATACTATAATATACTATACAGTTTGCTATATATACTATAATTTATATTATATAATATATAATATTATATATGATATATTCAACTATTGCGGACGGGGAATGCTTTTTTGCGTAGGGAACACGACGTTATATATATTATATATACTATACAGTTTACTATATATACTATATAGTATATATATATACTATAATTTATATATTTATATTTATATATATATATTATAATTTATACTATATAATATATTCAACTGTTACGGACGGGGAACGCTTTTTTGTGTAGGGGATACGACCCAGGCAACGTTATATATACTATATATACTATAATATACTATACAGTGTACTATATATACTATAATTTCTATATTTATATTTATATATATATACTATAATTTATATTATATAATATATATAATATATAATTATTATAATATTATAATGTTATATAATTTTATGAGAGAAGGATAGAAAGAGAAAGAGAGGGAGGAATAGTCAAAGAATGCATAAAAGAAAGGAAAGCAAGAAAAGGGAACCAAGAAAGAAGAAGGTAAAGATCACCTCAAAACATGTGGTTTTAGCCAGATAGGAGTAGAACAATTGTGGAGAGAAGGGAAACCAGCAGGGAAAATACTAAGGAAAAGAGGAGCGGAAATACAAAGACAAAGACAATGGAATAGAATTCAGAAGACGAGATACAATTGGAAGTATAAGTATCTGGTAACAGGAGAACTACCAAAATAACTGAAGGAGAGAAGGAAAAAATGGAGAGGAGAAGGTGATAGCCAGAACAAGATGCGGCACCCTAGAAAATGAAAGTAAATTTTGGGCGAGCGAAGAAGAACAGAAATGTCAATTGTACGAAGATGGGAAGGGAACATTAGAGCATTGGCGAAACTGTATAGAGATGTAGACAACAAATGCAAGTCTGGAAGAGATACTGAGTGAAGAAGGCGGGAAAGAAGCGGTAGAATGGCTTAGGCGAATAGAAAGGAGAAAGAAAGATAAAGAGAGAGAGAGAGGGAGAAGAAAAAGAAGAGATAAAAAGAAGAGAGCAACAAAATAAACATGAAATAAAATGAAAGAATTAGTTTAAGATACTTAAGCAGACAAAAGAATAGCATAGTTAAGATAAATATAAGTATAAGGTAAGAATAGCATAGGTAAGATAAATATAAGTATAAATATAGGATAAAGCAAAATAGGATACAAAAATATTATGTAAATAATATAACATGTAAAATTTAGGATAAATGCAATGCGAAATGTGCAATGTAAAAACCAAAGTCAATTTCAAGGCCAAAGAGGCTGAAATATATGCATGTTATATAATTTTTCAAGAAGTAGGGAAATTGTTTCCTGACATACCACACCAAGAAACGTTACCAGAGGTATTTTCATTTTATTTAACAAAAAAAAAACCTCTAAAGTGAAAAATAATTAATAATTTTAATTATTAATAAAATAATACACTTGTTGAATGCTATACATTCTCTTGAACCCTTTCAATCGTATATTAAGTAATTAAAAAAAATAGGAGAAAATACAGGCAGGCAGATTTTAACATACACATACTGTATGTTAAAATAAATATTAGTTAAAATCTAAAATATATAATAAATAGATTCTTATTAAACATTACTATAAAAGATACATACTAACATTTAAGAATATTTCATCAATGTGAATTAAAGATGTGCACATAACGCATTGTACAAAGTTTCCCTGTTACTTCAAAAATGTGCGGGCCCTGAGGGCAGGCTAGGCGCGCCGAGTGCGGTACGCGTTAATAATGCGTTAATAATGAGTGAAGCAGTCGAGCGCGAGAATTCGAATTAGAGTTTCCCGCTTTTGAAGGTGTTTCGATGCCAGGATAAACGGAAATCTGGGAGACAGAGTCAAAGTCTTCGGCAGCGATAGCGCGAGGATAATTGTAAGCCGTGCGAGTCGCGTTGGGAGACGCTGGCAAGGCGCGAGAGAGGCTGGAAAATTAGCCGAGCCCCGTGAAGATCGAGCACACGAGGTAACGTGCGGTGCGGCGCCGGATGGAAATTGGGCTGACTCGCATCCGTCTGCCGGCGAATCTGACCGGAGGTAGGAGAGCGAGAGAGGGTGAAATCAGGTTAAAACGGCTGGTTCCCGAGGAAAATTAAATACCATCTATACGATCGCGGTGCAGGCGGAACACGGAAGGAACATTTTCGCGAATGAAATCTCGTTTCTTTTGAAGGGGCCACGGGGCCATTTCAATTACACGCGTTCAGCTTGGACAAATATTCCAGTAGTGGGTTCACTAGAGCGGTGAGTCGGGGCTCCCGGGGCCGAGATAGGGTCGAGGTTCCCGCCGAGAGGAGAAGAGAAAAAGAAAGAGAGAGAGAGAGAGAGAGAAAAAGGGAAGTAAAAAGGAAACGAGACTTTTTCCGTGTTTGGCCACAAAGGAATTTCATTCCATTCGGGCCGATCGCTCTTTCGAGGGCTGAATGCCCAGGCAAGCGTGCACGTTCTCTTTCTCCCTCCTGTGTCCGCGTACACGCACGACGCAAACCATCGTTCGACGCGTGTACGCGTCTACAGCGTACGTCGTACGCCGTACACCGTACACCGTACACGTCGGACCGCCAGACACACGGGGAACCGAGGGTTGGTAATATACGCGCTCTCGCACGTACGCTGCATACAACAAGGGTAAGGGTAACAAGTAGAGGGAAGTAGCAAATGGGAAGGGGGAAGGGGTTAGCGGATGGAACGAATAGAAGGCGGGTGAGCAACGTAACGTTACGGCGCGCACAGTCCGGCCCGTTCTGTCGGGGAGGGGTCCCATTGAAACGTATTCTAGCGGCGAGGCGCGCATCGCATATTTTCCAACCCCCTCCCTTCTCGAAAGGGTAGGTAGGCTAATCGAAACCGATGCATGCGTGCATGCGTGCACCGCGTACGTACGTGACGTCTCTACGACCGACCGCAAACACCCGGTCTGTATCTAAGCCGTAGGAATGCGGCGTAACGCGCAATTAGGCATACCTAGGACATCCACGCATCCCAGCTGGCTCAACATCGGCTTCGTGTTCAGTTGGCACATGTAGCAGCCACGGTCGGCTTCCCGAAGCTGGCGAATGTGGAGCCGCGAGGTGGCCTCCTCCTCCTCCCTCGATCGGCTCTGATTCTTCGACTTGGCGTTCTCCAGCGTGACGAGAAACCGGGGCGAGTGGGTCACCGTTCGTTGGCCCATCGACAGTATCGTCTTATCCTCCACGCGGATCCATCCCACCTGAGACAGACCAACAACAACAACAACATCATCATCGGCGTCGTCGACGTTTTTTTTTTTTTTTTTTTTCTTTGATCGAAAAGAGAGAATGCACGCGATGTATGCTCGCTGTTCACGCGTTCAGCTACGCGACAAAGATTGGATCCATGCTGCTCCCATTCTATCGACCTAATTGCGTTAACATTGCCGCCAACGGATCTGCGCGTCCGGTAACTCCGAATACCGGATAAACGCGCGCGCCTGTACCGTCTCCTACATAAACGCAGTTAATTATATTGACGTTTCTATTCAAATACGTGCGTAACGTTATGCGGACTAGGCACGCAGAGATGGTTAAATAACTGGCGACAAAGCGGACAATCGGACCGTAACGTAAACGATAATTCCGTCAGATCCAAAAGGGCACATTTGTCCAATACGCGTGCAGAGACGATGTCTCTCTCTCTCTCTCTCTCTCTCTCTCTCGTGTTTTCTCTTTTTGATTTTCTTTCCCCTTTCTTTTTTTATTTTTTTTCTTTCGTTATAATCGTCTTAGTAACCAAGTGAACGCGATCGCGCTGTTCAGATTTCGCGTCGAACCGCGATGCTCAATGTACAATAATACGCGCGTATCGTCGTCAATCGTATCGAAACTTCCACTCCTAGTTACAGTAGGAGTAAAAATTGCGCCGCTGCTCCCCCCGTATAACGCGATTAAAAAGTTGCTGAGAAAGAAAATATGCGTTCGAATTGATTCGAAGGACAGTTGCGCAAGACAAGAGTTAATCGTGTAAAACGGTTATTTCTGCGAGCAGAATTGATCGTGTTACGTCAAAAAAGAATTCATTTCACTTACAAGGTAGATACTAATCGATTATAACGCAAGGCGGTCTTTTTTTTTTTTCGAAGGCGATCGACGACGAGCGACGATTAAAGCGCGAGATTCCGGACAGCGATCGAACGCAGGGAACAGAGCGGAGGACAACCATCGAGTCAATATTATATCGCGCGTAGAGCAGCCTTGTGTCTTGCCGTGTGTTTATGTGCGCCGACACAACCGATACGTATATCCACGAGCGATACGTGTTCGCACGTATGGCCGGTAGCAGTAATTGCTTTTAGGCGAGGAGCCCTCGCCTGAGCTCGTGCCAGCGTGCCATTGCCACCGCGGGAATCAACCTGACGAAAGGTTCAATTTAACGTCGTATCGCGTGCCCCTTTGCCCCCTCTACACCCGCTCCTCCGTACCTCACTCCCGCATCTCCTACGCGTTATCTATAACGCTGCACTTGGTAATTAATCCGAAGTGACTGTCGTGCACATCCCGTATGTCTACCTACCGCGCCTACCCGTATGCGTCGGGTTACACCATGTCATGCGACACCGACCATTCGTACGCGCTTACCTCGCTCCAGGAGGAACCCTGGTACATCTTCCTAACGACGCTCGTACAAACTGTACCTAACCAGTTGTTAACGCGCGAGGCGTCATAATGCGTCAATACCTACATGAAATTTCCTACTCATAGGTTTGCTCGTCTCTCGGTTTACGACGAATCGAGACGTATCCACGTGTATACACGTGTATACACGTGCCCCCATAATTGGCCAGAGTCAGGAAATGGAATGGAACGGCATGCCACGCAGGTCGTGAATTTTTTTGTGTCCCAAAATTGCAGTATCTTCTTAGTTTCAATCACTTAGTTTCAATAGCTCTGTTCGTTTCCATTTGAAAAATAAGAAAATTATTTATGATATGTACATATATTCTTAGAAATTTTCTGCTTACCTTTATATTGTAATCATAATTTTCTAACGTTTGCACCAAAAAGTAACGATTTTTTTTTAGAATACAGAGTGTTGATACAGGTTAGATTGGCCTGCCAGACTATCGTGTTTGGTCCTTAACTTCTTGCGTTGGTAACTGATTCCGTAACGCGTGACCGAACCGTATACAATAATTCGTCGGTATGATATCACTGGACAGAAATTACTAAGGAGTAATAAAATTATTATTTGTTTTGTCTGGTACATTTAAATATACTTAAAACTGAGAAAATACTTGCAATTTTGGGACAAAAAATTCTCGACGTGCGTGGCGCGTCATTCCAGCGCTACGTAAGAGGTTAATCCCTTGTGCTAACAACCGGTTCGCGGATCATAACGAGTGGCCGAACCATATACAATTTTCAGCCTTATTTAGTACAGTATATTGTATCATACCGACAAGTTCAAAAGAAAAAGAAAGCGACGAATTATTGAATACGATTCGGTCACTCGTTATGGTCCGCAATCAGTTGCCAGCGCAAGAGGTTAAGGACCAAGGACTCGATAATCTGGCAGGCCAACCTAACCTCAACACTATATTGACACTGTATTCTAAAAAAAAATCTTTTTTTAGAAAGTAACCGTACACAATTTTCAGCCTTATTTAGTACAGTATATTGTATCATACCGACGACTTCAAAAGAAAAAGAAAGCGACGAATTATAAAATACGATTCGGTTACTCGTTATGGTCCGCAACCGGTTGCCAGCGCAAGAGGTTAAGGACCAAGGACTCGATAATCTGGCAGGCCAACCTAACCTCAACACTATATTGACACTGTATTCTAAAAAAATATCTTTTTTTAGAAAGTAACCGTATACAATTTTCAACCTTATTTAGTACAATATATTGTATCATACCAACGAATTCAAAAGAAAAAGAAAGCGACGAATTATTGAATACGATTCGGTCACTCGTTATGGTCCGCAATCAGTTGCCAGCGCAAGAGGTTAAGGACCAAACTCGATAGTCTAGCAGGCCAACCTAACCTCAACACTATATTAACACTGTATTCTGAAAAAAAATCTTCTTTTAAAAAGTAATCTCTCGTTACTTTTTGGTGAAACGTTAGAAAATTATAATTACAATATAAAGGTAAGCAGAAAATTTCTAAGGATATATGCACATATTACAAATAATTCTTATTTTTCAAATGAAAACGAATGAAGCTTGCGATTAAGATGCAATATACTGTACTAAATATATGGCTATAAGGCTGAAAATTGTATATGATGTGGTCACTCGTTATGGTCCGCGAACCAGTTGCCAGCGCAACGATGTATTCTGCGAATTTCAGTCCCAATTTCAAGAATTGGTGAAAATAAGCATAAACGGACGCTCACGTCGAGTCCAAAGAATGGTCAGTTATGAGGGCACTAAACTATACCTCGCGCCGACCGATCGTCCTCCGGTTACTCGAGACAAGGAACGAGCGAGAGGAATGCCACGAGTCGATACACCGTTCGCAGCTTTCAGCGGGAATTACGAGTCTAATTAGGTAGCTCGGCGGCCGACCAACGTTCCTCAAAACACCTCTGGCGAAAACGTAGCGAACGAGCCGTGCCTCCTTTGTCGGAGATAACCCACGAACCGAGGAAATTCAAGAAGACTGTCGTCATGCCTTTGGCCGGTAGCTACCTTTGGAAGAAAGAACGGGGGAGGAAAGGTGATCGGTCCCGTTTGAATTCCTTCCTTCTCCTTATCGAGGACAATCGATAATGTCTTAAGTACTTTGTCACCGGGGAACAACAGTTTGTCCCGCGCGGGAACGGGAATGGGAACGGGAACTATTACGTCGCCCACGGCGGAGTCGTTACCTCGACGACGAGGGCAGCGATTCGTTCGATTCGCTGTTTCCAGGAGAAACGTCTCACCGAACGAAGAAGCAGCTTCTTGTCTGAGGAAATGTTGCTGCTTTCCGTGAACGTTTCCTGTTATGTTCTATAATTAAAAATTATACTATACAGAATTTTATACGGAAGTTTTATTCGAACAAGACGAGAACTCCTTTTTTTTTCTTTTTTTTTTTTTTTGTTACAGGTAAGGGCCAACTCCATGGATACTTAACGTAGAGCCGGGCAAGGAGGAATTG